TATATATATATAATCGTAGTAAAAGCCCTACAGAGAAGAGAAGAGAAAAAGAGTGGGTGAGGGAGGGGACCCAGTGCTGGCCTATGTCAAGCATACTGAGGTGCCTACACCTCCAACCGCTCAATCAGACAATCTGTAAAGAAACTCACAGCACGAACGCCACTGAAATCGATTAGCCGCCATTTCTTGCAACGTCTCCAGCCAAGCACAGACGGGGTCACGGGGACCCCATCCTGGAAGTCGCACAACACCAACAATACACAAACTCTTCGTGATCTCTTTCACGCCTTTCTGCCAAGTCATGTGCTGTCCACCTCGCGGTTTGCGCCATCCTGAAGGAGGCACGGAGAGAGCACACTGAAATGAGATCAAAAATTTACGGTGAGACGGCCGGAAATCATCGAGATTCCTCTCGGTGAGACGTTTTCCTAGGGTGGTCTTTTAAACTTGACGCCTTCATTCTTCACTTTTCGACATTTTTACACCATCTGATCAAAGTGATATTCTTGTGAATTTCGGGTTTCATTTGCGGTAGGACTAATCAATTTGTGACCAACAATCGCTCCCTTCCATTCACTGGAGATGCAGTTATGAGGAAAAGCGTCTGTGGTCCTATAATTTTGTCACTATGCATATGTAAAAGCAACCAGTGGGGCTAACTCTCAAGTCTGGACGTCTGTATGGAGTAGCGTCTAAATATGAGTCAGTCCTTGGCCTACGGCAAGAAGTAGGCCTCATTCAGGTGTGTTGTGGAGAAGTTGTTGGGCAGGTAATTTCTGTTAGGGGCTAATGGGGGCAAATTTTCCGGGATTTTCCGGTCGCTATTGGAGTTGTGTATTTTGATCACCAATCCAAGGTAGATTAGGAGAGGTTCACTTCTCGGGCAGGGGGATTGAGTGGATCACCTTGTTGTGTACGACGAGGGTGGGAGTGCAACGACAATCAGAATGACAATGGAAAAGACTGAGGGCCCGAAAGCTAGGCTTTATTCCTCCAAAGCTTTGACACTGAGAGCTGGAAACGGAAGAAAGTGATTTAGCAGGTTTTTGCATGGTCGTATGCGGTTTTAAAATCCAGCGACTTATGTTCCAGCCGTCTCTGGCGTATAGTATTGGAATAAAGTCCACTAATAAATGCGTCTCGTAACGCTTCATCGGTATGCTGTTCTGCACTGACGGCTGTAAAGCGGCAGTCTGGCAATAAACTGCGAAGCTTCTGCACAAACTGATCAATGTTCTGAGCTCCGCCCTGTTTACAAGTGTTCAAAAGATGCCGTGCAAAAACCTCATTTTTCGGCTGTACGTAAATTTCTCGCAAGGTTTCGATGACTGATTTATAGTATTGGCAGTCTTTGATGAATCGGTAAACACTAGGGGAGACGTAATTGAACAAGGTTTTCAGTTTATCTGGTGAATGAGAACCGATTGATTCTAGGAAGTTTGTGAAAGTACAAAACCAATGCTCCCAGGTATCTGCCGAGGCTTGAGCATTGGGGTCGGTATCGAATCGTTCAGGACGTAAGAATCGATCCATTGTTCGAAAACTTTTTTGGATGAATAAATTGTTGTGTACGACGAGGGTCGGAGTGCAACGACAATCAGAATGACAATGGAAAAGACTGAGGGCCCGAAAGCTAGACTTTATTCATTCAAAGCTTTGACACTGAGAGCTGGAAACGGAAGAAAGTGATTTAGCAACAAATGATGAAGCGTTTGAAAAACAGAGCAAATATATAACACACCTATCTACGTGTGGACAACCTGGTATTGTCCCTTTTGCTTTCTTCGGATGGCATGGCAGCTAGGCATCGGAAGGGTGTTAGAACTGAATGATTTTTCTCATTTTCTTGCTCGATCATGTACCACTGGTCCTATGTACGCGCAAAAACTTAACCGCAGGAGAACGATAATCAATGTAATACTTTTGGAATTTCGTAAATAGTGCTCTTCATTCCTTTTGTTTCATAGGATATATCTAATTGCTTGGGACTTGAGGAAATTCCCACAACCAATAACGTGTTAGAAAGTGTTGCTTATGTTCAATAAATAAAATTTCGTTACTTATGCCACATAGACTACACAGCAATCAGGCGATTGGTAAAATAGCCAGTAATCAAAATGAATACGGAAGAGTTCCTTGTTACGCGTGGATTTCTAAGTGTACAAACCAATCCGGGGGGAATGTACAGTGACATACATATAATTGCTTTGCATTTATAGTGACTTCTAACCATTTCAGACACCTCATCAATTTGACTAACGTGGAATTTGACGTATGATGAGGATTAGTAGAAGGATTTTCTTCGCTGTTTTCGCCGTTCTCACTTTATTCGTTACTACCGGTAAGTCTTGTCTCTAGCTTATTTTTACGAGTTTATTGTCCCTAGCCCTCTGGCCTCCTAGATAGCTTTGGACTAGCAAATTCATTTATCTTCTTGATTCATAAGGTTAAAACTTATTCTCGAATTTGTCAAGGATCGTGTTCGTTGACCCACGAATTTGGCCAGGTGTCAGTGTTTTTGAGTTGTGCAAGTATTTGATACCTAATTATTTCTGGAAAGTTCGACTGCATAAAAAGTAAAAAAATTGAAGTTTTTAGTTAGTCGCGGTACTACGTGTATGGAAATAAGCATATTAAACCAGGAAAAGTCCAAAATTATGGGGGTCTCCGTCTAACTGTTACACCTACGTTCACAGTTCGAGAAAAGTTGTGAGATATTATGAAAGGCGATCTACCAACAGCACACCCACTGAAAACGCTAACTCGACCTACTTCACCGGTAGACATCTGTGTGCGTAAGAAGGCACAATGAACACGAAAAAGTGTGCGAAAATTTGTTTATCAGGTCAAGGGGTAATAGTCCATGAAAGACTGTAGGTAAACTTATGTGGCTTGTTCAATAGATGCAAATAAAATGTTTGCTATGCGAGGCTGTCTGAAAAGTTGGAGGAAGTAACAATGGCAAATAGACAGATGCTGGTTGGGTGATGTTTTGTTCTCGCTTGATGAAAGCCGCATTGCATTCCGTGAAAATTTGTTATCGCTGCTCTTCTTGCATAAGTTCTCCATGGTTAAGTAACTGAGGAGCGCCGCTATTTTTTTACTGCTGAGCTCGAGATGGTTCAGTGGTTCCGTGGTTCGAATCCAACCTCTGCATCTCGGCTGCCCCTGCCTAGGCTGGAACAACAAGGCAGTATCTTCGCCATCGTACTTCCTTCGGATGGCATGGCAGCTAGGCACCGAAAGGGTATTATATCTGGACAACGATGACTAGGGATTCACCTACAAATAGTTCAGTCGATGCATGCGTTTTCTATGGCTAGCATATGACACTAGCCAGGTGTGGTGTTAAGTACATCGTGATATCCTAATCCCGAAAATGTCATTTCCGAAGGCAGTGGGTTGCTGGATACATTGGCCTAAACAAGACAATCTCACCAGCACTTGGCAGTTTCTCTCCACACCACCCTTAAATGTACTACTTCATGCGATTGCCCCGAGTTGGTCCACACTTCAGCAAAAACATCAAAATCCAGTTTCACTTCTCTCCTCCAGAACCTCAGATCCTTACCCTTAACAAGATTTTGGCAGACGCATTGCAGCTGTTGAATCAGGGCCGTTACTGATTCGTCGTTCAAGGGTCTGGGAATCTAAATACGTCACTAACATGCAACTTTGTGCACTTATTCATATGAGCTAGCTCAAGGATTTGCGCCATGCACAGGTAAAGTAGGTGTGAGCTCATTGTGACCGGGGTTCAGGCTCTAGCAAAACCGGGCCAGATACTTCCTGTTTTAAATGTAACACCCTTTCGGCGTCTAACTGCCGTGCCACCAGAAGGAAGCACAAGGGTTGGGATACTGCCAGGTTGCCCAAGCCTAGACAAAGGAAGTCGAGAGGCAGAGGTCGGGTTTGAACCAGGGACCTTCCAGTCAGTAAATTTGCGCTCTAACCACCGAGCCATCTCGCCCCTGTTTTAAATGGTTCACTCACAATGACCGCATCATGATGTGGGGGAGTGCTTCGACCGGACGTGATGATACAAGTTCAAGGATCGCCATAAGTACTCATGCTCGATGTACAGCTGTCATCTATTCAAACTAAAGACAAACTCAAGAATAGGACTGAACTATCTTGCGTTAGCTCAGCCATTGTGATCACGCTCATACAATACCCCCTTGCTTTGAAGCAGGTTGGGAAATATGAATTTCTCGTTCAGAAGTTTCTCACTCTTCGTGGAAGACCTGGGCATTATTCACTACTTAGGGTGGTGAAATACGTGACCCAGGGCTCAGCGAGTGGCTTTCCGAGACGTTAAATTTCACACCAGATGTAGACGGAAAATATGCGTACTGTGTTAACGTCTCATCCAAAGGAGTTGCCCATGACTGTTTACTTAATTTCCAGTCACGTCCATTTGGTACGTAATCGTTAGTGAAAATGCTTGGTAAGGTTCCTGAGCAAGGCGACACGGTCGGTTACGTTGCCTATTCTGAATCTGCTTATTGCTGTTTTGTATTGTTTCAATTCTGGAAACAGGTTGTCAATTGTTTTGTACGTGAGCCGTAGCGTTGTGTCTCTCGCCTTCAGTAGAAAACAGCCCGGTCGTGATTGCACAGCTGTCGGCCGTAACGGAGTTTGTTGTAGAAGGAAGCCGTGAATTCGGTTCTCTGTGCACAATACAATGGTACATGGTGTACTTATGCGTAAATTTTCTCTGAAGGTTCACTGGGCGGGTGTATAAGCATTCTAGCTTACGCCAAATGCGATGCTAAATGAGGTGGGTTAAGTAAGTTATTTTGAAGAAGTCTCGCATACCGTATGTTTTTCGCCTCGTATGGGATTGAACTGTGATGAATTAAAACACTCATCACTGAGTTTGCATTTCCAGCAAGAACATTCCGGTTCCCCTACTGGTTGGACTGTTGAAATTGTTGATCCAACTTCTAATCAAGGGTTAGAGTGACGCTCAGTCGTTACAGCATCGTACCAATAAGTTCGTCGGACAAACGAATAAGATAATGAGATAGAATTTATGCGGTGCTGAAGGAAACTTGTTACACTTTCAAGTAATTCTCATCTCAATTAAAATCTCAGCGCAGCTGATAGCCACATCAAGGAACGAACGCGAAATGGAAATGGTGCATAAAAGGGCAAATGAGAGTAAGATATGGTAAGTAATCGCTGGAAAAGCCCAAAAATTGCACATTCTGGCAACGAAAGCAGAATTGTCTCCACCAATCTGGTGGGATTAAGTTTCATTTCGGTCCAGTTGAATAATCGAAATATCGCTGAGCCCCAAAAGAAGCCAAAATAATGAAAGGAGGATCATTGAAGCTAATAAATTTAGTGGACTAGGGCTATGGTAAACCGCGGAGAAGGATGTTCTCAACAAGCACCACACCTTTTTTTACACTAACCTTGACGACGGCTCTGATACTGCCGATTCCCCGACCAATGTGCGTCTTAGTGCCAACCTTTTGTCTGATGCATCAAGGAAGACTTTTCTACTAAAGTTAATAATTGCGTACGTGCGTGTGATGTCGTTTATCTCATGCGATTTTCCAATCCCACCACTATGCCTCTTGACCGCATCAACCATTTCAGTCACATCCCCTTCCAGACGAACCGTAATTGTTAATACTGTCATTTTTCACTCGCCTTACCCTTCGATTCTCTTATTTTTTGGAAAATGCTTGAAAATCTGCTGCTATTCACTTCGGAAGCAATGATGGGTGCATCACTGTAACCACGGTCAACCAAGTTTCCACCTCATTTTGGAACAGTAGGGATTTCTTCATGGTCTTATGTTTACTACCACTAAAATGTAGTTGGATCAGACTAGAAAGTTGCGCTCCCGTAAAACACTACTACTTTTCGTTCCATACGGTTTTCTGATATGACCTTGTTTACCGCACTTGTGACCGATAACATTTCAGGAACAGCAACAGGATCGCGAATGGAAATCACCATACGGTACGCTTTCATTACAGGAGTTTTCAGCACGGTTGCAAAAATTATCAGTCCTGAGGTGTCTTGTGTTAGTCTTCCATAAGCATATGAATGAACATTTTTACTCGTTGGATGGGTGGTGTTTGTAATTCCCTCTATGATTCTTCGCATGCTTCCTCTTTTCCAGGCATCATCCTCGGTTTGTGGTGGCAAGTGGGTGTGCAGGCTGTGCTTTCCCCCGGACAGTATGGGTGGTTCACGGTCTCGTTCTACTTCGGAGCAATCATCGGCAGCCTACTTTCCTGCCGTACGCTGTCATCCTACGGACGCCATTGGACTCTTCATTTCTCTTGCCTTCCGAACTTGGCGGGCTGGTTTTACATGTTTCTTACTGCCCGATCACTTTCGGATCATGCTGTACCGATCTTGTCTATTTTTATGGGCCGCCTGCTGACTGGTGTTGCAGTTGGACTGATGATTCCGGGGGGGTTGATTTATCTCATAGAGCTTGCGCCAGCTGATAGCTCGGGACTTTTCGGATGTCTTGCTCCCCTTGGGCTCGCCTTGGGGTCAACATTTGCCCATGCCACTCTGGCGTACGCTAACTATGTCTACTTTGTGTTCGCTGGTTCTATTTTATTGGTGTTCGTCAACCTGACCATATGGTTGTTGCCTGAGTCACCTAGATGGTTGGCAAAGACGGAGCAGTTTGACAGAGCAGCGGCTGCCTGTTCGTGGTTTGGTTGCCAGGTAAGTATCTCCCTCGTATCTTTTAACTTGGTTGCATTCTCTCTTTTTTCGCAATACTTTAACTTAATGGTCTCTTGGATAGTATTGTTCGTCCTGGAGATGCAGTTCAAGTGATTTTTCTGCCATTTGCAGACCTTGTTGACTATCAGCATTTGCCAGATTGCCAAGTGTATCGTATCTCATCAGATAAGGCAAAATAACGCCGCTCGATTCATCCGATTTTGGTTAAAATAGACTCATCTGAACCCATATAAAGAGGATATTCAATGACCCCGTTCTACCGTTTGTACAGACTAGTAATTTTGTGTTTTGCGAGCTTAAATGAGACAATTTACGGGGCATAGAAAAAGGCAGAATTGAATGGTAATACAACTCCAAGTCCTCATCGAGTTCTTTTGTTATCCTGGGTTTTGCTGGTCCAAATAATTGCAGATAGGCTGATTAATGATGTTGCGTTGTTTTGCATTATTTCAGTGAACTACAACACTTCATAGCGTCCGGGGGAGAATGAACTTCGATAATTTAATAGAGGCGAACGACTTGAATTAAAAATGTGGTTACAACTGGCTATCTAGTGGGGAATTCTTACAGATACTCGAAAGTCTTTAACCAATTTTATGCTTATCGATGATGTGAGAGTGGCATATTCACTTATTATTGGCTTGCCTTCAATAATACATTAGTGTCCTGCGCAGTGTAACGAGAAATATCCAATTGAAAATTGCTTCCAAATGAGAACACCTGGTTTTCATTCCCTCGGATAGGTGCTGACGAAGAAGGTTAACGATATCTTCGTCAGATGTGTATATATCCTGCTGATATGATGCAGATAGCGCATGGATCTCAACAGTGTCAGCCCTAGTGGTGATAACATTTTTGTTTAATCGGATGTTAATGGGGCTCGGGATAGCTCAGTGGTTGAGTCGCGAACTTACTGACCGGAAGGTCCGTGGTTCGAACCTAACTCCGGCATCTCGGCTGCTCCTGCTTAAGCTTGGGCAACCTGGTAGAATCTAAGCCCTTGTGCTTACTTCGGGTGGCGTGACCGCTAGGCAATGAAATGGTGTTACAGCTAAACAGACGAACAAACAAACGAAACATATACCTAAACACATTGCAGGTTATCAGAATACGCTTTCCCGACTGGTAAAGGATGGAAATGACGGCGGTTCAACAATTACTTTAGGACTGGGGAATAGATAAGCCTGAACAACTACACTCAATCGCAGAGTAACATACCCAGTTTTGCTGAATCATGACACTCAGAGGCGGTCAGCTGGATCAACATAACCCAAACGGACCTCTCGAACAACTTTTTGGTTGGTATCCATCCAATGAGTTAACATCATTTGGTCGAGTGAGGGGTCTACACACCTATGTTGCACTTATCCGTAATGAAATGATGATGTTACTTCCACTGGTGACGGAACGTTAGCAACCAAATTGCCAAGTTCAGTGAAGAGAATAACAGTCATTTACCAGCTGCTACCTAGAACGTTACACATTCATAGCAGTCTGGCATAGTACCAGTGTTAAAAAGACGAGCAAAGAGTTACGTAGTGCTCAGCGAACGGCAAGTCCAAAGAAGGCACATATTGTATATCAGAAAATTCCGTGCACGTAAGGTTTCAGAGTAAACTGGAGCGAGATAGCCTCGCCGGCAGCTAGTTGCTAGGGCTTCCGATAGCGTAGGATTGTTCTGAACGCTTGATTCGAGTGACCTGCTGTCATTAGTTTGACTTCCATCTGCTTGGTTGCTGTCCTTTGATTTTGAAACCTTATCCTTCATTTTGTAGAACTACCAGCAACTCATTGATAGCGAATCTTCGCTGAAAGCAGCTCCAGGCTGCACCGACAATGTTGACGTCCAGTTAACACGATTTCAACGTTTCAAACGATTCCTTTTCGGTTTTACGAATATGTCTTCTATGGACAAATCCAACGCCCACTTGGCTTGGCGTCTGCTCGCACTGCAACAGCTCACACTTATCGGCCCGTTACTTAATTTCTGTGAATCTCTCTTTACGTTCGGTGGGTCTCCTTGGACTTTGCGTTACGCCGGAACCATCGGATTACCTCAGTGTGTTTTCACTGCTATCGCTGCGTTAGTTGTCAGCTACACACCACGAAAGAACATGCTACACTGTAGCACGTTGACTATGTCTCTATCCTACTTCATCCTTGGCGTGCTTCTGAAGGTAAGTCGCAGTTGTGAAAACCTGAGATCACAGCTTGTAATATATGTATAGATTAGTTAACCGTTTTAATTCAGTTTCTTATCTTACTTGTGAATAGTAGTGCATCCAGCGGCTCGAATCAACAATTAAATGTAACCAAGTTGCCCTACGGCACTGTACAATTTGAGCCACCAGCATTTTTGCAACTGAGATCATGATGGTCTCCAACGTTTTGTGGAGTAGGTTGGTTAAAGTCTGTGATGTCGATCGCTGTGTGCAAATAAAAAACTTGAGTGAGGTATAAATGCCAGCATCGGGTAACTGAAGTTTGCCATTCATAGTTTATTGAGTTAATGGCCATTTCCGTTATTCACTCAATCAGCCTGCAGCAATTTGTACTCGCTTGTCCTAAAAGCTATGTTAAATCAATAAGTGTGAATCAATAAGCGCTTGTGAAATACCGGTGGATCAGCCCTCAATATATCAGCACACATTTACAGCAGTTGAGTGAGGACACAACCGTGGTGGGGCACTAGTTTCAAGGGAGAATCTACATGACCACTAAAGCAAGTGCGGTTGTTACAATAAACTTATCATTGCGCTAGCGCGCATCAGATCTCTCTGAATCTCTAAGGTGGAATAAACCCTATTTGAATGGTGGATAACGGTTATCAAGGGGTTGAAGACCTTACTAGGGGTACACTAGAAAAACCATTTGTCAACTAGAAGCAAGGGTGCCACCACGACAGGTGACCATATAACGAGTGTGTACTGTATTATTGTCCACTCGTGCTTGCTGACTTCTCAAGTGTGACACCATTTTTACACGCGCCGCTCAAGATGAATAAGTACTCCGTTTTTATATCGAGAAGCGCTGTAATCTTAGCATGCTTAACTCGTCTCCCGCTTTCAGTTGAAAAACTGACACTGAAGCCCCAACAAGATGAGTACCAGGTATTGGTGAACCTCCCAACGTACTTTCATAGAGACTTCTGTGCAATATTATGAACTGCGTTAGCGTCATTGTTGTCTTTGTTTTTATGCAATCGCCGTTCGATGATTATCTGTCACAACAAATGGGGGTTGCAACAACATAAGCAACTGTACTACCTCTACTAAGTGGTGATATTGATGTGATATCCGCAGAAGGGCTTGTGATTCATCAAAGCAATTTCAGTCTTTTTTCAAATATCATGACATGAATTACCTCAAAGCTCAAATGCTCTGTGACTACGTAGTCGTGCTTGAAAGTAGCAAAGGGTACCTGTACCTTATTCACTAACACGGTCACTGATGGGTTGCTTTATTGGCTTAGTCCTGCAATGTTATTCAATCCTACGGAAAAATCTGGTTGGTCAACTTTAGCTGCCTTATTGAAGCCTGATTACTCCACCGATTTACCTCTCCCGTGAGTAAGGAGCAAAATATTAGGAAGTTGTCCGTTTTTAACTTAGAAAACCGTTTCTTCGAGACAGAACTGCATCGTTGGCACATGGTGGCATCTTCCATCGGACGGTTTATGTTGGTGAATACATGTCAGCGAAAGAGCTGTCCAACAAAGTTGCATGCTCCCTTCTCTAAGGAAGCTGTTCTGATTCGAGTATCTGTTGGCACTAGGACGAGGTCACTTTTTGGCATCCCTCCACGTGATCTTCCTAGTCAGGGACAGCTCAGTTAGCCATGAGCCACACGGAAGGAGATTATTCGCAAGTCTTCAAATACCCAGAAAATGGACTTTTCGGTAATGCAGGGCTGAAATTTAAGGAGACCCTTTGTGAGTTTCGCACCCTGGTTCTTTTTGCTGGTGCTGATAAACGACCAGACTGGTATTTGTTGGGGGGTTGAGATGGTTTCTTGATGCAATTTCAATCCTTATCCAAATTTCATGAGACCATATTGAAATCCTCTTTCTTCCACTCACCCGCACGGTTTAAGATAGGCCGGATTCCGTCCCTTAATCAATCACTAGGTTATTCATCGCTGTACATAGTCATGATCTCTCCATCAGTTGGACACGCTGTTGTTGTGTTTGTTGTTTCCTCTGCTTTCACTCCATGGTTTATTTCTGGTTTCACTTTATCGCTATTATCTTTCACTGTTTCCCACCCTCCAGTTTGACTACTTCAAACCCATCAGTCCGTTCACTGTTTTGTGCGTTTCGTTGTGTCTCATCGGCTACTCTCTGGGCTGGGGCCCAATACCTATCATTATGGTGGCTGAAATGTTCAACACACAACATCGTGGTTTCATAGTCGGCAGTGCTATGGTCATCTCATGGATCTTGGGAATTGTAACAATATTGTTGTTTGAACCGCTCACTACACTTCTTGGTGCTCCGTGCTACTTTTGGCTCTCGTCATTCGCGTGTGTTCTCTGCACCGTCTATGTTCATCTATACGTACCCGAGACGAACACGTGTGTGTGCAAGCCGCCGGTAAGTCATCACAATGTGCTAGAATTTTCGTGTAGTTCGGTTTCACGCGCAAACTGCTTGTTGGTTACTAACTATGAGCGGGTGTTTATTTTGATCCGATGTGCCGTCTCAGATTTCAGACAATCAATACCCACAGACAACCCACCACCAATTTAGCACGTTTTGACTCTCACTTGGTGGGTATAATTCCTTCGGTCTCAGTTAGTCCTCTTTTTCTGAATGAATTGCTCCACTGGTTGAACTAACCTGTTACGTTGGAAAGACAGTTGTCACCGCTTCCAACTATTCGAAATTTGGTTTCAAGAAGCACGTTTCCTTATTTGATCCTGACCGTAGTGGTCAAAAAAGAATCTCATTTGTAACACCCTTTCAGCGCCTGGCTGCCCTGCCACCAGAAGGAAGCACGAGGGTTGGGCTGCTGCTAATTCGCCCAAGCTTAGGCAAGAGAAGTCGAAAGGCAGAGGTCGGATTCGAACCGCGGAGTTTCCGGTCAGTAAATTGGCGTTCTAACCACTGAGGCATCACAACTTTATATCCCATATACTCCAGTAGGCCTCCAGTCAATTAGTTTCTAAAAAAAGGAATAGGTAGTTCCATGTATCCAGAAATGGCTGTGTCGCCCACTTTCCGGTGACCGAAACTATATCAGCTGGAACCAACGTACCCCTGGTACAGGATTTATGGCTGATTGAACTGAACTGATGTGCCCAGAATAGTCATTTGGTTATTTTATCCCTTGTTGTCATCATCTCTTGGAAGAAGGATTAAAAGTGAGCTCGAGGAATATTGCCGTCAAACGTAAAAAGTCGATCCTTCAGCCAAACACATAAGTGTCGTCGACTAATCTGAAGTCAACAATGTGACCAACAAAACAGCCCACACTGTGGCCTGACGCAAACGTCCCTTGAGATTCGGGGATATACCGCCATAGATGTCTCAAATTAGCACACGCGACCCGAGCCTTGCAGATTCGTGCATTGACCTCATCTGTTACACTACAAGCAGAATTAATACAACTTTCAAGGTACGTGAAACGGTCCGGGATTAAGTGGTGTTTTTAGTGACTGCATGTCCACGAGCATAATCTTACACTTTGTGGATGCAAAGTTCATACCAAAAGAGGGGATAACTTTGGTCAGTTCATTCAAAAACACCTATGACTTCTTTTCCTTTTCAAAGACGAGAACGATCTCGTCTGTATATTCCAGACGATACAGGCTATTTAAGCACCGGGAGTTTGAAGACCTTCCAACGTTCGTCTCATCATCTCATCGATCACGAAATTAAATAGGAATGTAGAGGGTGATGGTCGCTGACGAACAGCACGTTGAGCGCTGAATCTTTTGAAAAGCTCAGCACATACTCTCATTGTACATCCGAAAGTCTGAGAACACAAAGAATGTATTGCCCATAAAATCGTGGAGCATTCCTTGATGGGCAAGCATGTCAATGAGAACAGACCAGCCAACCGAGTCGAATATGCCTTGAAAATCCAGGAATACTAAAATTGTGGGTCGTTTGTACGCATCACTCCACCTGGTGGAGTGTGGCGATTTGCTCAACACAACCCCTACCATGCCGGAACCCTGCTCGCTGCTCTCGAGTCAGTGTTTCACGGGCCACCATGAGGCGACGAAGCACAAGTCACGCCAGCAGTCTCGTTACAACCGGAATCAATCTGGTCCTCTTTTTAGTACCACACTCACTACGATCCCCTTTTAGAAATGAGCGTTAGCACTGACTCCCCCACCCCAGTTTTCTGGGACGCTCTTTTTCCCAAATGCAGCCAAACAGATTAGATGAGAGCTAGTTGAGGATTTCACTCCGTCTTTGAACAACGTAGTTGGGAGATCATCCGGTCTAGAAGTTCTGTAACGCTTAAAAGAACATATGCAGTCATAAACGAGGCCTTAGGGGGTTCTGCGTCAGACGTGTGGCAACTGGAGCCACAATAGCTGTTATTCGAAGTATTTAACACACCGGTCGAAGCGCTCTTCTTTATTCAAGATGGTCACTCGCTTCTGATCCTTGACGGTTTCGCTCACAGATACTTTCCGGGGACCGGTTGCTCCGATCACCTAAAATAGTCTTCGGGTATTAGCGGCTTTCTGGGCCTCTTCCATTTCTTTGGCTTTCTGTGTCCACCAGACTTTACGGTCAGTTCGCACGCTCACCTTCACTTGACGTCTGATAGTTTTCTGCATCAAGTTATTTTCAGGATCGGCTGCGATATTTCTCCGAGATTTAAGCATTACCACTGTTCGATCTGATATCCAGTGCTTGAGTGCACCTGGTGGTGCCGTGCCACAGGCAAAATTCCCAGCAATATGCAAAGAGTTGGCAAGCTCGTCCCAGTATGAGTTCACATCTGATGGTGGAGCATTTGGAAGGGACTTCAGAAGACGATTCTGATAAATTCGTCTAACATCCGGACCTTACGCGGCCCAGGAAAACATAAGGGGAAACGACTCACGACGAGTGTGGTCGGAATCCAAAAAGAACGGCAGTCAGTTGTTGATCCGCGCCATCGGTAACTAGTGGCAATCTGATCGATTTGAGTCCGTGGCCGGCATGCCGTTTGAGGACACCATGTGGCCAGACGACTCCGGCTATCTCGGAAGTTATTACTGCATAAAAACAGCCTGCGGTCAGGACATAGCTGAAGTAATAGTTCGCGACAGTCGGTACGTACCGAATGCATTCCATGTCGACTACCTAAATGAATCTCAGATGCGCTAATTCTGCCCACTTGTGCATTCAGACCTTAGGCAACCACAACGATACCTGGGTTTCTAACTCTCCACAACGGGGTATTCAGGGCATCGTAAAACTTGATTTTGACAGTTTCACAGCTACAGTCAGTTGGGGCTTAAAGGCACAGGACAGACATCGATCAACTTCCCCCTTGAGACTCCTTCACAGACTTTACCGGACGAACGACACAGGCGAATGTCACAGTGTAATCAGTCAGGCAAGGATCCCTCCGCCTGGTTACTTGGGACGACACTGACCCCTGTACATCCTACCGCAGCAGCCTCTAGATCACCAGAGACGCGCAGTCAGAAGCGAGTGGAGAGTGATGGGGGGTTAGCTCAACCATTGTGCTTGCGTCTTGGATTTTTGTTTTTCTGATACACAGCACACATCAACGTCAAGCGAGTCCAGTGTGAGAGCAAGAGCTTCAGAGTGCGGACATTGAAGGTGGCTAGACAAGCTGAGCATCAAGGCTTGAAGACTGATTTCGGGATACCTGAAAATGTCGGCGCTGGATCACGTGCAGATGTTGTTTGTAAAACCGATGCAGGACAAATTGACCTGCAAGGAGAGCGTTATTAATGGGGTGAGGAGAGGGGGAAGGAAAAGTGTGTGAAAGAGAAAGAAGGGAGACATCAGCAGTAGTTTGTTTTAGCTTACCCGTCCTGCTGTATGCAGCGAATAAGGCAACTCAGTTGATGGCACCACACGACGACCAATGTGGCATTTGTATATGTGCAGTTCATGGTTGTACGTGGGCTGGGATACTGCCAGGACGATTAGGGTCCTGAACCAAATCTTTGGCTCAAAAGCCTAACCGCAAGCCAGCGGTGTTTGGCTGGAAATTCAACTACATCACCATTTTTACGGAACACGTTGCCACACATGTTCGAACTCCCCACCTGGAGGACTAGGAGGCTGTGTTCGTCAGACCTTTAACCATTGAACAACCCCGTATGAGAGACTGTTTCGCGCGGACACACCCCAATATAGCTCAATGAGCCGCCGAGGTACACACACCACTGTAAGGTCCAGCCTCTGTGTGACAGAATGATTCAACGTAGCTTCAAATTGCTGCTTTTTATTTCTGAAAAGTTTTCAGCTATTTTATGCCTGTGTTTTGCAGTGGGGACAGTTGATAGAATACCTTCATTCTCTATGGGTCGATTGCATATCAAGGGAAGCCGTAACAAAAAAATTTTAATGGAAGGCTAAGATGATGTGAGAGTATACCGATGTCTGTTGATTATTGGCTTTTTACTAGGCCATTCTACTCTGTCAATTATGCCAAGCTCAAGTTTGTTGCCTCACTTGGATTACAGATAACGAAGCTCACTCAGGCATTAAAGCTCGAACCTATGCAGCCAGAAGTCAAGCGAAAGGCGAATGGTTTGCGGATGAAGGGAGTGTAATCATTGTGACGTACTTATTTGACGATATTTGATTTCGAATACATTTTTTTTCTTATATTTGCTGCAACAAACCTGTTTTACCAACCAACTATTTATAAGTTGGTTTCATATTATTTCTTGTTTGGCGTATAAAAAACAGTAGGTATTTCTTCTGATTGTGTCTGTTCTGTGGAGCGCCGTACTGTTTTTCCAGATATAATAGAATTTATTCAGAATTACCACTGGTGTTTACTGCTGTGGTCTGGATTACGAAGTGACTACTTTTCACTTCAATTACCAAATTTGCTAGCGTTTATATTACGATTGGCACTAGATTCAACACTCCGCGTCCGTGAATTTCAAATGTGGATAGAGTTAATGATCACTCATGCAGACGCACATGTGAAGAGTGATTCCTGTGTGAATTTTTCGAACACTCAAAATATCTCCAACCTTCCCGGCAGTCGCACGCCCTGAAATGAGCACGTCGCTCCACCTTCCATTGCTATCCGATTTATATTAAATGTAGAAGTTGGAGGAATGTGATCACTACAGCTCACTCATAATACATATAGGGTTACCGAATCAAATCTGTTAACACGTTTTCAGTTTACTCCACCACCACCACCCTCAAAACCAAGACTGATGTGTCACAATAAAAATAAGTTTCAAATAACCACGATTTTTATAAATTATTCATTTTTCCATTACTTGGCCGAAAGAGTTTATCTCTGCGTGGTTTTATCGAATATAATTTGAACTCTATCGGGGCGCGCCCAGATAGAATAAAAAGCACATGTGCAGAGAGTGACGCATCCCCAAGGTCACCATCGGTACGACGCTTTCGGAAAGTAGGTGAGTTGGCGGCTCGCACCAAACACGGCTTAGCAACATAGGACCAGCGTAGTGGGCCTGAGAGCGTTCACGACCGGAACACCACCATTGGCTGTACGGAGCGACGAGTGAACGAACATATTTGGCCAATTAGTCGTCCTATATATATTTACGCAGACGCTCTGTATGTTTTGTCCTGGCAATACAGCCGTGTCCGCAGTTCTCTGCCTTCTCCCTATCGCGTAGTCTGGCAGGCTCAGTGCAGGCGTAACCCAATAGCTCGACCACCGCACGACACAACAAACTCATTATACTTCCCCCTTTCATTTGCCTCCTCAGCCCATGTACTTTTAATCTCCACTCGCTCTGCTCTTTATACCCGCCACTCACCGTGCCGCAAAGGGCATCAGTCACCTGTGTATTGGCATGTGTGTATGTGCACAACTAACGTACTTACCCATGAACATTCGTGCCTAGTTCGTTGACCGTGCCTTTACTGGTTTTCTCATGAGTTCCGTTTGGTCGCACTGCCAATAAGAATCACGAGACTATTCTCGGAAGAGACGACCGCAACCCACACTGCTGAGCCAACATTCCGCTCGCCGTTGTTTGGTGTGCGGACGTAGATACTGTAGTGTGCCGGTCGGTGACAGACGATACTACGAACGTGAACAATTGAAGTTTGTTGTATGCATTCGCTTACCCTTATGTAAATAGAACCGTAGAATTTCGAACCCAGTTTTTGTTTGGTGTGCGGACGTAGATACTGTAGTGTGCCGGTCGGTGACAGACGATACTACGAACGTGAACAATTGAAGTTTGTTGTATGCATTCGCTTACCCTTATGTAAATAGGTAGAAAGAATTTCGAACCCAGTTTTTCCTTTTGGTATTCAGGATTGTCGAACCTACTTGTGTCGTGAACCTCAACAGGCTCCAGAAATGAAGCAAACTAATCAGAACACCATCATCATCATAAGTGGCATACCTTTGCGCAACCGTATTGGAATGAATTAACTGGTCCAAAGAACCGGACACAGGTCAAGCAACACCAGGATTGTAGGGCGCCTACACGCATGCCTTTGCTCTCACACTTGACGGAGTTTAAAGATATAGTCCACACAGCTCCCTCCCAGCCGGAATCCTGCTTGCTGTTCTCGGGTCCAATCTTCAAGCGCCTTCGTAAGACGATGTTAAACAAGCGACACAAAGTTTGGTTACAACGGGAGTCAAGCTAATTTCTTTGTGATTGCCTCACTCGCTGCGAGCACTTTTTTTAAATAGACACCACTGTCGACTCACTCCAGTCGTCCAGTTAGAGGCAAATAATCTAGACAGGCTGAGAATTTCACCTCCATGTTTAAACAGAGCGTGTTGGAGTTCGTCAGAACAAGTAGCTCAATGATGCTTGAGAGACAAAGAGCACTCGCTTATTTTCTATGCTCAACTTCACTTTCTGGAGCTAAACTTGGAATCCGGCTGAAGAAATTCAGGTGACCAGTTGAATTGATGTTGAAAGTGTTCAGCCATAGAACCCAAACGCTCTTTTTCACAGGTAAGTGAGCCAGTGTTACTAGTGATTGGAGTGTGTCCGAACTTATGGCAGTTTTACAGTGTTGCTCGAAGGCCAGTGCTTGGATCTAGTTGGCTGCGTCATCCAACAATCGGAGCGTCCAACATTTTGCACAGCTGCGGACAGTACCTTCCAGTAAGAATCGACATCAGAAGACGTGTTGTGCGAAAGGGACATCAGTAGGTGGTTCTGATTGACTTGTTGCATATCACGGTCCGACAGCTTCTCAATGGTTAGACAAGGTGTGCGCATCTTGCGCGCCCTTGAAAAGCACAGCGATAGATTAAAACAATACCAATCCCAGCAGAACCAGGCGTAGCGATTTCCGGATCACCAGAAGCGAGCGGAAACCGGTGGGGGGGGGTCAAAAACCGTATTTTGGTCTTGTATCTTTGTTCCAGAGAGACAGTACACACATCAATAGAAAGCAAGTCCAGCGCACATGCACAGGAAGTCTGTTGTCCCGTTTGTCTCAGAGTGCGAACGGTAAAAGTTGCCAGGTGGACTAAAAATGGCGGTTCGAGAAAGATTTCGAATTATCTAGGGCCGTGGCGACCGAGTTGACCGTAGATATGGTAGCTAACGACAATGTTAAGCGGACGAATTCGTCAGTCCTTAAGAATGGACTTACAGAGATAATGCTGCCAGCTAACTGAGAAAGGAAAGAAGGGAGGTTTTCGCTTACACGCCTTGTTATGTCCGGCAAATAAGGTGACTCAGCTGATGGCACTCTGCGACGGCCGATGTGGCATGAGGATAGCTATCAGCTCGGAATTCATGGTTGTACGTGGGCTGGGACGTCGCCAGGGCGCCTAGACCTAGACAAGAGAACGGTTAGGGCCCTCAACTAAAGACTTTTGCTCAAAAGTCTGATCGCAAGGCAGCGTTGATTGGTGTCAGAGCAGTTTAGATTCTTAAGAAGCAAGCTGCCACACATGTTCCAATCCCCATTCGAAGGACCGGGAGACTGTGTTAGCAAACTACCCATTCACACACCAACACTCCCCAGCATAACTCAGTGGGTTATGAAAGTGCAGTCCCCAGCAAGGTCCAGTTTCGTCGAGAAATTGATCAGCGTGGGATTACCAGGTGGCAAATATCCTTAAGTGAAACCAGTGCTCTACGGGCCAACTACACTTTCGACTTGAGAAACTGCTTTCCAACCAATCAACAGAGCTTTTTTATTGAACACGAGCTCGATTGTAGTATTTACAATGTTCAGTTGTTTCAGTCACCACTGCAGTTTAAAACAACCAGCAAAACGATCGACCGACTCCAAATTCTTCCAGCCAATCAGATAGTAGACTGATCACTAGCGAACGTATTTGTGCAAAGAGCTACGAACAGTGCTGTGTGTAGTCTGATAAAACTGCATAGTTTTTCACCAATAAACTGAGACTTTTCCGGAGTGAAGCGAGTTCAAAACTCAGACGAACGAAAATGGAAAGCCTAAGCCCAGTCGAAGGAACACAATCGTGGCGCGATTTCTCGGAGCTTCAAGGGAACATGGGAATAGAGTAACAAAAGGGGGTCTAGTTTAAGACTTGGAAGACGTTGGGGCGTTTGTTCTAACCACCGAAAAGAGCTTCTGGTAGGTATCTGATTGGGTGGGTTCCATCTTTTACGAAACCAGGGAACAACTATCTCTCGATTGATACTTTATCTATAAGTTACTTGTGCGCATAATTACTCTACATGCACTGGTTATCTGTACGAATATTTTTCCCTTGATTACATCTTTTGTGTGCGCACTGTGGATTCACAGCAGTTTGTGTGACAAATATATTGAATCGTGAAACATCCCTTGGCGCTAGATTAATAAATTATAGCTGTTGAGTCCTCCGAACGAGAATTTTCGAGCATATGAAATTTGTTCAGCGTGCCAGATGTATTACCATTACACAAAGAGCTTTGTTGTTGTTCACGGTAGTCCATTGATTACGGGGTTCCTTAATGGCGCCAACCGCGGCCCCTGATTGTTGAGTTGCTACAGTCGCCGCGTAATTTTACGGCCCACAGATAGGTGCAACGCCATTGAGGGGAATCCCCTGCTTTGCCTTATTATCTAGCATTTGTACACATGTGTTTTCCCTTCTACGGTATTGGATTTTTCGGGGACCTAAGGTCAATATCCAGCTTTGAATACCAAATGAACCATCATTATCAGCTGTGAGAACCGCGTACTTGTCGTACAGTGGTTGCAGTTGCCACAGTTTCGTTCACCGATGATTTGGGAGGTGGGGTAGGTAGCTGTGCATTGGAGTCGGGAGCTGATAAATTGGTGCGTAAATACAGGTTGGAAGGGGAGCTATGCAATGAAGGCAAAAGCTTTGATGCACGGACGCGACTGGGCTATATCTGACAATGTCTCTGACCATTGGTATGGCCCGACTCGGGGTCCCCATCCAGGAAAACGGCAATGACCAGCGCAGCTGAGTTTGCTGGTAATGGATTTTATACTTTGCTGCCAAGTCACTGACCTCCTTGGCTCGTTTCCACCCTTCACCTGGTTGTGTGAAAAGAACCCTTCGAGGAAGTCGATCGACTGGCATACGTAGCACGTGGCCAAGCCAGCGCAACCTATGCAGCGTAATCAGTTCATCTATCGTGGGCGACCTAATTCTTCCGAATATCATTCGCATTGCTGATCCGGTGTTCCCACCAGACTCAGACAATGCTCCGAAGACGTCGATGGTCGAACACTGAATGTCTTTTAACGTCCTCGGCACGCAGCGGTCAGGCTTCTGATCCATATAGTAATATGGAGCGCACCGCAGCATTGTAAACACGACCCTTGACGGATAA